AAAAGCAGGTAGCCTGGGGCAGAACCTGGTGTGGCCTTTGGGAGATGTGGGTTCAGACCTCAGCTATGGCAGCAATTGCTGTGTTACTTTGAGTGGCCACTTGGCAGCTCTGCTGCTCCGTGTCCCTTCTGTGAGGTGGGAGGCTGATGTTTCACCAGGGTGCAGACAGGGCTCAAAGGCTTGGAGCACTGTGACCCAAGCAGCATCTTCCTTCGTCCCTCCCATTGCTGACTTGTTTATTTATTGCAGGAAACCTCTTAATGTAGTTGACAGAGAAGACACCAACAGGCCCTAATTATTTGTGGAGTAATCTCTATTTCTTCTTACAGAGGTGATGGTTTTGCATCTCAGCTTTCTCCCTGTGTGACCTTGGGCAGCCACTTAACCTCTCTGAGCCTTTGTTATCTTGTCTATCACTGGAATGGTCTTATCCATCTGGCAGAAGTTTTGTGACCATTGAAGTGTAGGCATCATTCCCATGGTTTTACTCAGGCAGTGTTTTTAGTCCCCAAAGGCTCCCCAACGTGATCATCATTTGAGTCAAAGGTGGGGACACTCTTTTGGAGGGCCCTAGTTACTCCTGGGAGCTCTGGTAGCGTAGTGCCTAAGGCACTTGACTGCTAACCAGAAGGCTGGTGGTTCAAACCCACCAGCCACTCCTCGGAAGGAAGATGGGGCAATCTACTTCTGTAGTGATACTGCCTCGGAAACCCAAGGAGGGGTCACTATGAGTCGGGTCCGACTCAACGGCACATACCAACAACAACAACAGTTACTCCTAGTTGGCTAAGAGGCTCAGGACAGAACTTGGGCTTTGGAGTCTGCAAGATCTGGTTTTGAACTGTGGCCCCACCTCTTATAGACCCCTGAGCCATGTCTAGGGCACCTGCTCTCTCTAAGTCTTGGCTTTCCTCATCTGGAAAATGGTCGTAATTAGCCTCCTTCCAGAGTTGGACACATGTGAGACATGAATGTGCCTGGCACATAGTAAGTGACAAACGCTATGGTACCATCACCTTTCCAAGTGCCCATCTCCCATCTCTCCACACATCCTTCTAAGTGAAGAATGGGATAAGTAACCCAGGAGCCTCAAAGGGCCTGGTGGGTCCCTGAACAAAACTCAGAACTGCCCGGCAAAGACTCTGGGAGAAAGGCCCTGGTGAAACAGCCCCATGTGATAATTAAGCTCTCTTTGCTCCAAATGCTATTAATGGTCATAAAATTATCCACAGTTTTCTGAGGCCCAGTCCCAGGGCTTGCCTCAATGGGACAATAAAACCGCATGCAGAAACGATTTGGAAAAAGCGGCAAGTGCCAAGCAGAGCCAGAGTTAAACAAGCGGCAGCCTGCTCTCATTAACTTGGGCCATTCACATTTGTTACCAGGGATTTCTTTTTAATTAAAAAACAGCCAAGTTATTAAAAAATAAGCTTCTGAGGGGCTGGCTGCGGAGTAGCCATGGCCGGTGGAGTGAGCATTTCTCGCCGCAGGACACAGGCCCAGGGCTGTGGCTGGGAAGGGGCATGGAAGCCGATTCTGAGCAGATGGTTATTTGAGCCCTGTCAAGCGGGCTTGCTGAGCCTGGCACTGAGACTCTTCTGAGCCCCTCCTATGCCCTGCGACCTGGAGAATATTGTATTCTCGGCTATAAACTGTAAAGTACTCAGCAGATGAATGCCTGGTATTGGGTCCAGAGCCATGGGTCCATGGCATGTTAGCACTGAGTCTTGTCACAGGGTAACAGTGTACTAAAGGGGCTGCCTTGAGTTGGCTAGAATTAGGCTTGGTGCAAGTGGGTCCTTGGGGGTGGGGTTGGAATCTCAGCTCTCTCAGGTGACTGAGATATGAGGTTTACAAACAGTAGTTAATACAAACTCACTGCCATTGAGTCAGTTCTGACTCATAGCGATCCCCTTTGAGTTTCTGAATCTGTACATCTTTACGGAAGTAGATCACCCCACCTTCCTTCTGTGCTGCTGCTGGTGGGTTTGAACCACTGACCTTTTGGTTAGCAGCCAGATGTCTTGTCCACTATGCCACCAGAGTTGCTTACAAACAGTAACCACTGCTGTGGAGTCAGATCCGACTCAGCGAGCCTTCCTTGGGTTTCCAAGGCAGTTGTTGTTGTTGTTGTTATGTGCCGTCGAGTCGGCCCTGACTCATAGCGACCCCTCCTTGGGTTTCCGAGGCAGTATCACTACGGAAGTAGGATTGCCCAACCTTCCTTCCGAGGAGTGGCTGGTGGGGTTGAACCGCCAGCCATCTGGTTAGCAGGCAAGTGTCTTAGCCACTATTCTACCAGAGCTCCCTCCAAGGCAGTATCACTATGGAAGTAGATTGCCCAACCTTCCTTCCGAGGAGTGACTGATGGGTTTGAACCACCAGCCTTCTGGTTAGTGGTTAGATGCCTTAGGCACTATGCTACCAGAGCTTCTTTACAAACAGTTTGCTTAATTAGTAAAGAATGTTGGCCTTGAGCATTGTGCTCTTTTAAAGATCTACAGTGAAACCTGTGAGAGGCGGGACTCGTAGGAATTGCCTTATTTTTCTGGGTCTCACAAGTTCTCCATCTTTGACAGGGTACAGTTTTATCCCTTTTCTGTTGTTCTTTCTTTGTGGAAAATATTTGTGTTTTCCTTCTCTGACAGGTTTCCACCTTAAACAGGTCTGGCTTCCACAGATTTTACCATATTTATATAGGACCAAATTGACACAGCAACTCAAAATGTTAGATAGGAAGCTTAGGGAACAGTGAGTTTATATTAACAGTGGAGGAAAAATTCACAAAAGGAGGAGGTTGAGAATGGTTGTATAACTTGAAGACCACAGTCAGTGGCACTGGTTTGTACATGTAGAAATGGTTGGATCAGTGTATCTTTTGCTGTGTCTGTTTTCAACAACAAAATAAAGTACATTATTCAAATAAAATGAAAGAGACAGTGACCTTGAAATAAAAAATAATGTGAGGGTTTGGGTCTGACAGGCCTGGGCTAGAGATCCTGCTTGCACCCTTACTATTTGCATGTGATTTAGGGTGAGTAAGTTCATCTCCCTGAGCCTCTGTTTTCTCCTTTGTAAGATGAGGATAATAATAACAACAAGAACTCCCTCAGAAGGCAGTGGTGAAGCTCCAGGGAGGTAATAGGTGTAGATGATAGCTCCGAGCCAGCACATGCTGCTCAACAAATGTTGCTATTGCTGGCACTGTTACATTTAAGGGTTTGATGTTCTGGTGTCAGCTTTTCTCATCTTAATGGTTTATCTTGCTCAGTGTTGAAAGTACCTGGATAGTACTTGGACCTATTAATCATCTGTAAGGTATTTTATAAAGGAGCTCTGGTGGCGTAGTGCCTAAGGCACTTGACTGCTAACCAGAAAGGTTGGCGGTTCAAGCCCACCAGCCACTCAACAGAAGCAAGACTGGGCAATCTACCTCCATAAGGATTTACGCCTCGGAAACCCAAAGGGGGTTGCTATGAGTTGTAATCAGCTCTCGATGGCAGTGAGTTTGGTTTGGGAAGGCACTCTATACTGTGCAAAGTGCTATGTGGCAGTAAGAACAGTTACCATTCCCATACCAACTACTTGGTACCAGCACTGTATAGGGAATTTGTTTCCATTGCTGCAGAATTGGTTCCCGCTTTACACAGGGAAGCAGAGAGTCAGCCACAAGAGGGACTTGTCTGAGTCATGGAGTTAGTTTAGGGCAGAGGTCCTCACATGGAGGGCTAACAAAAAAACACAACACACTGCCATTGAGTCAGATTCAACTCATAGCAACCCTTCCTTGGGTTTCCGAAGCGGTATCACTACAGAAGTAGATTGCCCAACCTTCCTTCCAAGGAGTGGCTGGTGGGTTTGAATGTCCAGCCTTCTGGTTAGCAGTCAAATGCCTTAGGCACTATGCCACCAGAGCTCACATGGAGGCCCATCAGCCCTAAAGCCCATGTTCTTTCCTACTTAGCATAACCCTGTGAGGTGGTGGGGCACAAAGCCTTAAAATATAGAATTTCTAGATTATTCCCCTCACTCTACAGATTAGAAAACAACCCCACAGAGGGGACATGACTTATAATAAGAATATTGCATTTTTATTATGTTTTATATAGTTTTTCAAGGGCTTTCACAGCAACTGCTTTCTTAACCTTCATAAAAGCCCAGTGAACTGGGCAAAGTAGGGCCTTAAGGTAGCTAGGCTGTGGAAGAACCAAGGAGGATACACAGATGTAAATAACTACACTATTTCTATGGAATAATGCAATTTGGAAAACAGTGTAGCTTGAACTTTGGTAATAACAATAACAAATGTTGTTTACCAAGCACCTAACTGGTAACCAGATGACCTATGTGTGTCAGAACAGAACGGTGCTCCATAGAGGTTTCAATGGCTGATTTTTCACAAGTCGATCACTAGGCCTTTCTTCCGAGGTGTCTTGAGGCTCCAACCTTTCAGTCAGCAGCCAAGCATATTAACCATTTACACCGTCCAGGAGCTCCCATGAGCACCTACTGCTTGCCATACATGTAACATGCATTGTTTCAGTAGTGCTCACTCAGCCTACTGGGCAGTGTCAACTCTAGGTCCACCAACCCCACCATGCTTTCTTGCATGATCAAATGAGCACAGCATGTATCACGTGAGGATAATATACTGTGAGATCCAGGAGACCAGGTGTTTGTCTGTCTTGTTCACCAGTTTTTCCTGTACCTAGAATAGTGTCTGGTACTTACTAAGTGCATAGGTTTATATAATGGTCATTTAACCACTGAGCCTCAGCATCAGCGTCTGAAAATTAGGGATTTTATTACTGATCCTGCTGGGCAATTATGGGAATTCAATGAAGTGTCCCAGGTACCTTGAACACAAGAAAAGCAGTTAGTAGTGAGCTAAGGGTGCTCAGTCCCACACTGTACCCCAATGACTGCCCTTTCCTTGTGCCCGTCTGCAGGACACCTCCACTCATTTTGTCTCTTCTTTCTCCCTGTCTTTCTCTGCCCAGTGAATGGGAGCTACGGCCACTGCAACCCAGGCTCAGAGAAGAAGAGCCTGCTGGACATGGATCTTGTTGAGGGTCCCAGCCCCACCTGCCGCCAGGGCCTGTTTCTCCCTGCAGGAACCCCACCACCCCGTGGCCACCCCCCAGCCTGTGAGAGGCTGCTGCATTTCCCCCACCCTGACAACAGGTATGTGCCCCCATCCAAACCTGTCGGCTGCCTCCTGAGGCTACTTCTTGGGGGCCAAGGCCCCAAGGGCCTCCAACCTCACCTTGTCTGCCTGGCTCGTGGGACTCACGGGGAAACTGAGACACAAGGCAAGGGACTGGCCAGAGCACAAAGGTGGCTGCCTGATCTAGAACCTGCACCTCTGGCACCGAGGCCTCCTGGGAAACACAAAGATGGTCTTATTGAAGTGCGTTTTTCCATCACAGATCTGGGATAAAGTAGCTTTTCACAGGGAATCAGTGAATTTCAGAAGACGAAGATTCAGGGGTGGGTTTGGGAAGGAAAACCCAGTCGGGGTTCCCAAAGTGTCAAATTGTGGACTACTGGTCGGGTGGGAAGGGATTCCCTGTGTGGGGCCATCTCCTTTCCCAGGAAGCCACTGCCTCACAGAATCTCTGACAAATAACTGTCTTAGTTACCTACTTCTATACCTAGTGCAGATACTACAAGTGGGTAACATTAAAAAGCAGAAATTTATTTTCTCACAGTTCAGGAGGCTAGAAGTCCAAATTTAGGCATGACTCTTGGAAGAGGCCTCTGAAAGAAGGTTTGGCAATCTACTTCTGTAGTGATACCACCTCAGAAACCCAAGGAGCGGTCGCTATGAGTCGGGTCCGGCTCGACAGCACAAAACAAAAACAACAACTTGGAAGAGGTCCTTCCTTGTCTGTTTCAGCTTCTAATAGCTGCCGGCAATCTTTGTAGATACAGTCTCTCCATTGTCTGTCTTCTTCTCCCTGTGTATATCTCTGTGTCCATCCTGCTCTTTTTATAATTAAAAGTGATTAGATTTAGAATCCACCCAACTCAGGCATGACCTAATTAGCATAACAAAGAAAACCCTATTTGCTAATGGATTGTATTTATAGCTATATTATTGTTGTTGTCATGTGCTAAGTTGGACCCAACTCATAGCAACCCCTCCTTGGGTTTCCAAGGCAGTATCACTACAGAAGTAGATTGCCCAACCTTCCTTATGAGGAGTGGCTGGTGGGTTTGAACTTCCAGCCTTCTGGTTAGTAGTCAAGTGCCTTAGGCACTATACTACCAGAGCTCCCATTTATTCCTATAGGGGCCAGGATTTCAATATATACTTTGGGGGGGGGGTGCACAGTTCAATCCATAACACCATCCACTCAGTGCTTGCACATTTCTAGCAATATCCATCCCTGGAGGGATGGTCTATCTGATTGCACATTGGGCTGAAACGGGCCTCTGTACCCTCTGCAGAGGTTTGATGAGAGATGGAGTTCAGACACACCACCCAGTCACTGGAGCACCTGTGTATACACCATCCAGTGCCCAGAGCCCTTACCCAACTGCCTGGGGGCCTGTCTGGTGCCTATTTCATGGACCAGAGGTTCCAAAAACTAGCCCAGTTGACCATGTGTAGTACATTCATTCACCAGCCATATACCAAGTGCCTGCTGTGTGCTGGGCAGGTGCTGGGAGGGCTTTGGTGAAGAAAGCAAAGATCTCCCTTGATAAAACTTAAGTTCAAGTGGCACCTCTGCAATATGTGCTATTATTAAATGGAAGGATGGTAATTCTTCCCACATGGAATAATTTTTCTCTGAAGGTTCAGATTCCCTTTGACCTTCTTTGATATTAGTAAGACCTCTGATTTGTAGGATCAAGCATCTTCTAGATTTCATCCTGTATATTGTTTCTTGTATACTGTCAAGTTAATTCTGACTCAATGACCCTGTAGGACAGAGTAGAAATCCATAGGATTTCCAAGGCTGACTCAGTGGCAGTGGGTTTGGTTTTTTGATTTAATCTTTATGAGAGCAGATTGCCAGGTCTTTTCTCCCACAGAGTGTGGCTGATGAGTATGAACCGCCAGCCTTTTGGTTAGCAGCCAAGCATTCAACCGTTGGCACCTCCAGGGTTTCCTATGTGTTGTTTAGCAATAATTAAATGCATTTATCGGTTTGATTTTTCACTGAGGTTTCCCCAGCTGTACACATTTTCTCCAATGAAATTCATTCTATCTCAGAGTAAAAGCTATGCAAACCTTGGGAATACTGAGGAGGTGGGTGTTTTTTGTTGTGGTTGTTTGTTTTTTGGTAGAGCTATCATACCAAATGTCTTTCGACAATTTAGGGCATGGGACAACCTGTCCTAGGCATCCTGAGCCAGCATCAGTCTTCATTACTCCCACTCTGCTACCAAAATAGCTGAATGGGATCTGACACTTTTTGTTAGGTGCCACTGAGATAGCTCCAACTCATACCAACTTTATGCATAAACAACAACAACAACAACAACAAAAAACACTGCTATCAAGTCAATTCCAACTCATAGCGACCCCTGTTGGGTTTCCGAGACAGTAAATCTTTACAGAAGTAGATTGCCCCATCTTCTTCCGTGGAGTGGCTGGTGGGTTTGAACCACCAACCTTCTGGTTAGCAGTCAAATGCCTTAGGCACTGTGCCACCAGAGTTGCCAGATTCTGCAGCATCCTCACAATTATTGCTATGCTTGAGTCCGTTGTTGCAGCCACTATATCAATCCATCTCATTGAGGGTCTCCCTCCTTTTCCCTGACCCGCTACTTTACCAAGCATGATGTCATTCTCCAGTGATTGTTCCTCTGATGATAAGTCCAAGGTAAATGAGATGAAGTCTCACCATCCTCACTTCTAAGGAGCGTTCAGACTGTACTTTCTCTAAGAAGACTTGTTTGTTCTTCTGACAGTCCATAGTATATTCAGTGTTCTTCACCAACACTGTAATTCATATATGTTCATTTTTCTTCTGATACTTTGACACTTTCAGACTTTCTCATTTTCCTAAAGAAAAAGAGGGTCCCATTCCTCTTTCCCACCCCCAGTTCAAACCTGTCCCTTCTCCCTCCTGTATTGTGTTTGGGGAGCCCCTTATCTCCATTCTTGCTGCCCCCTCCTGAACCCAGGCCTGGGTTCCTACAGCCGCCAGCTTACCACTTGTCTTGTCTCCAGCCTAACTTTGTAATACTAATACAATAGCTTCCACTTACTGACCATTGTGTGTGCACATTATCTCATTTATTCTTCACCACAGAACTATGAGACCCAGGTCCTGCCACTAATAAACAACCATCAAGGGTACTTACTGTGTGCATTAACTCAATGCATAATAATCGTAGGCAAACTGAGTCCAGACCAGGTTTGCTGGTCTGATAGATCCTGATGGAACCACTGAGACTATGGCCCCTACCTGCCCTTCAGGTCTGGAACTGAACTTCCAGCCAAACAAAAGACAGACATATGAGCTGAATATTTATGTTAGTTAGGTAGATATACTCCTTGGAGAGATCAATCATGGGAGAATAGAAGGGCTGTGTATGCACAGGGAGACAGCTCTTGGGGCAGGAGTGCATGGGAGGGAAGGACACAGGGAAGAGGTGATTATGGGGAAGAAGTGGGAGGGGAGCTGTCGCATTGTGGGAAATTATAGTCAATGTTATGAGACAAAGTGTATGTGAACTGCTATATAGAAAGTGAATTTGCTCTGTAAACTTTCACCCAAATCACAAAACAAATTAAAAAAAAAAAAAAAAAAGAGAGAGAGTCCAGAGATGCTACATAACTAGCCTAGGTCATCCAGCAAGTGGTGAGAAGTTTTAACTAACTCCAACAATATCTTGATTGTGTCATTTCTTAAATGGCTGCTCACCATCACCATGGGCAGCAGAATGCCTTGTGAAGTGCAGTTCAAGTCCTAGCTTCACCACTGCCTATCTGAGTGATAAGGCAAGATGCTAAATCTCTCTGGGCCTCATTTTCTTACCTATAAAATGAGGATAAAAACACAGAGTGAGCAGTGCCCTCAACAGAGCTGGGATCTGACTCCTTCCCACTGCCTTAGTTTCCTTTGCAACCACCTCAGCCTCCTGGCCTGTCTCTGAATGGGCTGTACGCTTTCACACCTTCATGTCTCAGTCTTTTGAACCCCTCTTGCTCTCTTCTGTTCACCAGAAGTCTACCTACCTGCAAAAAAGACAAGGAGGCCATATCTCCTGACCACCTCTAACCCCACAAGAGGAAGACAGAATCACCATCAATAGCCCAGGCCTATTACTGCAAGGCCAGACATGCTTCCTCCCTCCAGACCTTTCACCAACTGTTCCTCCCAAAGCACTCACCACCTCTTCTCCTGGGTTCGATAATTCCCTGCAGTGGCCACACAGAACTCACAGATTACAGGGGTTTATTAGGGAAGCTTGTTGTTGTTGTTGTTATGTACTGTCAAGTCGGACCCCACTTATAACGACCCCTCCTTGGGGTTTCCAAGATAATACAGTTCGAATTCAGGAAAAACGCTCAGTCTCTCTCCCAGCCCACAGTCTCTCTCCTAACAGTCTCTCACAATCTCTCTCCCAGCAGTGAGTGTCCCTTGGTATCTCACTCAGCAATGCTTGTCTCTTTCAGCAGCACGTTTTCATCAACCAGCAGTCAGAGAGAGACTTCTGCCTCTAGGAGGCCTCCTTTTGAGCCTGGCAGAGTGGCCAAACTAACCAATCATAACATCAGAATTCTAAGCACCTGAGAGAGAGCAGGAACCTCCCAGAACATTGCTTTGTGTTGTGCCCAACAGAAATAAATACCCAGGTGGATAACTTTTACAATCAGGAGCTCCTCAGTTGCTCACAGCAAATTCCACCACAGAGTTTACAAAGACTTATGGCTAGAAAAGCAACACTAAGTTAATTTACTACACCGTACCATCCCTCAGCAGAACTTAAATGTTCCCTCAGAGGTCTGGTCCACATTGTCCCCACTAGAAAGGGAGCTTCTCAGGGCTAGAGACCTGGTGTCTGAATTATCTCCCTGGCCCCATGTCACTCAGTACAGAGTGAAAAGCCTTGGGTGAAAAAGCTGACCCTCAACCCACCCTGCAGCCCCTGAACTAGGGGTACACCGGTCCTATGAAGCCTGAGAATGCCCTCCTCTCCTTTTGAGTCTCGCACTGAAGAAACATTGATTATCCCGATTTCAGCATCCAGGATGATGGACAGAACATTTGAGTCCTCAAGAGTTAGGACATTGAAGCTGCAAAGTATGTAACAGTTACCAGTAAGTCACGTGCGTTTGACAGAAGAAGCAGCTGGAGCCCACACAGCAGAGAATGGAGGGAAAACCCAGGCTTCAGATTCAAACAGATCTGGGTTCAAAATCCTACTCTGGTCCCTGGGTGATACAAATGGTTAAGTACTTGACTATTAGCTGCAACCTTGGCAGTTTGAACCTACCCAGAGGCACCGTGGAAGGCAGGCTTGGTGATCTGTTTCTAGAAGGTCAGACTTGAAAACCCTATGGAGCAGTTTAGCTCTTATACGTGGGATTGCCATGAATTGGAACTGACCCAAGGGCGACTAACAGCAACAACAACAACAACAGTCACTGACTACCTCAGTGGGCTTGGGGAAGTCACTTTAGTTTTCTTAAGTATAAAGCACAGGTGGTAGTATCTACCTTGAAGAATTTGTTTGTGCCTTCAACAGATTACCATGTATCATTCTGTGTTATGATTGCATGAAGTGGTCCTCAGAAAAGTCCTGGCACATTTGGCTGCCCAGTAGTCATTGCCTCTGTCTAGGGATCCATGCCCACCAATTCTAGGTGTGATGAAAGTTTCTCAGGGTGCACAGGGCTCAGTGGCAGAGCAGGGCCAGAGCCACTTGCCTGGCCTCATGTGGACAATGAGGGAAGGGCTGCCTAGGTGAGCAAGTGTTCATGCCGTGAGACACCAAGGTCTGGGACCCCACCCTCTGGTGCCATTCAATCTTTTGTTGTCAATTATTCAAATGACTCTGTCACAGAAAGCTACAGCTGTTCTCTTCTTCTGTTTGGTTGATTTAACCTGATGCTGTTTTCAAAATGATTGCTCCAAACAGATGTCTGTCTGATGCAAACACGCCTTCCCTGCCTGTGTTCATGTTTCACCAGGCCCAGAATCTGGACCCTGCAAGGATCAGCTGTGCTTTTATTTGTTTGTTTATTTTTCAGCCTCATAAACTCACAACTTTGATATCAGATCTTTAAGATCCTTGGAGCTTTCTGCTGAGAATGGTGACCCAGAGTGCCCCAGCCCTGGGAAGGGAGGTTTGCTGTCTTTCTCAGAATCAAAGCTTTTCCTAACTTTACCCGGAAACTGAGCCATAGTCTGGGCAATGAGCTCTTGGGAGGGAAGAGAGGGCAGTAGTAAGTGAGGCAAAGGACATTGTTCAAGTGTATTTGAGTCATAACCAGAATGCTCCCCCGTCCAAGCCTTTATCCAGGCAGAGCGTCATGTCACTTCTCAGTATGGAAAAACACTCAAACATAGGAAAAGGGGAGCCTGGATTCTAGTCCAAGCCCTGTCACTGTTTGCAACTCTGTGACCGTGGGCAAGCCATGTGCCCTCTTGGCTGTTTAGTGATGGAATTAGAGCTGATACTCTCTGAATGCCTCCTGGCTCTGACATCCTTCCTCTGCCCCTTCTCCTCTCTTCCACCTTGCAGCTGGAGTGGGGGTACAGCAGTTGCAGGAGCCCTGCAGGCCTTACCCAGACTCAGCCCATCTTGGGAAACAGAGAGACAGACACCCTTCGACAGAAAACCAATACTCCCACAGCCCCGGCTGTAAAGAGCTCCCAGACACTAACTTACTGCCACTGAGTCAGATCCTACTCATAGCAACCCCTCCTTGGATTTCCGAGGCAGTATCACTACAGAATTAGATTGCCCAACCTTCCTTCCAAGGGGTATCTGGTGGTTTGAACCACCAGCCTTCTGGTTAGTTGTCAAATGCCTTAGGCACTACACCACAGTGGCAGTAGTAATAGCACCATTCACCCAGCCATCTTCTTCACAGAGAGCTGGCATGGCGTCATCTTACTTGATTCTGCCATCCTATGTGATAAAGAAGGTTAACCCAAAAAACCAAACTCACTGCCATTGAGTTGGATCTGACTCATAGCGACCCCTCCTTGGGTTTCTGAGGCAGTATCACTATGGAAGTAGATTGCCCAAACTTCCTTCCGAGGAGTGGCTGGTGGGTTTGAACCACCACCTTCTGGTTAGCAGTCAAATGCCTTAGGCACTGTGCTACTAGAGAAGGTTGTTGTTGTTGTTGTTATGTGCCTTCGAGTTGGACCTGACTCATAGCGACCCCTCCTTCAGTTTCCGAGGTGGTATCACTACGGAAGTAGATTGCACAACCTTCCTTTCAAGGAGTGGCTGGTGGATTTGAACTACCAGCCTTCTGGTTAGCAGTCAAGTGCCGTAGGCACTAGGCTACCAAAGCTTCTACCAGAGAAGTTTGTTGTTGTTGTTGTTGTTGTTATGTGCTGTCGAGTCGGCCCCAACTCATAACGACCCCTCCTTGGGTTTCCGAGGCGGTATCACTACAGAAGTAGATTGCTCGACCTTCCTTCCAAGGAGTGGCTGGTGGGTTTGAACTGCCAGCCTTCTGGTTAGCAGTCAAGTACCTTAGGCACTATACTACCAGAGCTCCTAACTTCCAGAGAAGTTTAGTCTTCAGAAAACTGAGGCTCAGGCCAGGGCTCAGTCATGTAGTGTGTCCTAATCCTACTAGATTTCTGTCTGTTGGGCTGCTGCTGCCTAGCCATCCAGCAGGGGGCTTCTCTGACTCTCAGCTCAGTGTTGCCTTCCTGGCCTCTCCCCTTCTCAGGCCTTGGTGTCTTTACCTGTCCCTGACCTGACTATTCCCAAGCCAGCATGGGATGATGGGAGCTCAAGTGCAGGAATTACCTTATCTCAAACCTGGCCTTCTGTGAAGTGAGTAGAGAGAATGGCACCCGTATTTGGGAGAGGCCCTGTCTAAACTCCAGAGAACCTCAGATGTGATGAGGATAACCACTGTGGCAAATCCTGCCCATCTGCACCATCCTCACTGTCATGAAGAGACTCATTCCAGTGTTGCTGGGGAGAGAACCCCAGAAGGACAGAGTAATTTGCCCAAGTTTGCACAACTAGGATGTGGTGAGCCAGGCCTATAACCCAGGTCTCCTACCTCCCAGTTGCTGCCCCACTGCTTTTCCCCAAAACTGGTTTCATAGAGTGAGGGGTCTCATGGTGTCTGGGCTTAAATTATGGGATGTCCTCCTGAGAAATTTTTCCTCAGTTATTCCTAAAGGTTCTTCTCACTTGTCAAGCCCTCCAAACACTGACATCAACAGTAGAAAACTTGTGGTAAACTTTATGCAATGAACACTTTTAGGAATTAAAAAAGATTACAAAAATTAAGAGACATAAAGTGGAATTTTAAACAAACAGGGCCTGGATGTCCCTCAAAATATCAGTCTTTTTCTCACAGAACTCGCTAGTGTGTGGGGTGATGTGGAAGGAGGTCAGGCCGTGGAGGCAGAACAGGATGGCATTAATGTCTGGATTTGTGTGTGGGGGGAGGGTGTGTGTGAAAATATATACAGCAAAACATTTGCCAATTCAACAATGTCCATGTGCTTAATTCAGTGACGTTGATTATATTCTTCATGTTTTGCAACCATTATCACTATTCTTTTTCAAATTATTCTACCATCATTAACATAAACTCAGTGACCTCTAAGTAAAAACTCCCCTTTTCCCACTCCCTCCCACCCCTGGTAACCACCAATAAGCTTTGGTTTCTACATATTTGCTTATTTCACATAAGTGAAATCATACAGTATTTGTTCTTTGGTGACTGACTTCACTCAGCACGATGTTTTCAAGGTTCATTTCTGTTTTTGGCTGAGTAATATTCCGTTGTTTGCATATAATCAGTGGCTGGATTTTGGTTGAAGGAGGAAGCGGTGTTCCTTTTTGGCTTTCTCCTTACCACATCTCCTTGTTCAGAACTACCTGCCTTTTCTGAGCCTTCTTTCCATCCTTCCTTGTTTCCTCTCTCTCCCCTTCTTCCTCCACACTCCTGCTGACCAGACAACCAGTTTCTGGTGTCTTTTTCAGCCTCCCTCTCTGGCTCTTAGGAGCTCTGATGGTGTAGTACATAGAACATTTGACTGCCAGCCAGAAAGCTGGCGGTTCAAACCCACCAACCACTCCTTGGAAGACTGGGCAATCTTCTTCTGTAGAGATACCGCTTTGGAAATCCAAGGAGGGGTCACTAGGAGTCAGATCCGACTCAATGGCAGTGAGTTTATCTCTGGCTCTGGGCTTCTCTATCCCTCGGTCCTCAGGTTCCCTACTATCCTCTGCCCAGGCACTCCCCGCTCCAGAGTGCCCATCATCTTATGACCTCTCTGGCTACTGTTTTTCAGGTCTCCTAGACCCCACGTCACATATGTGAACGGAGGCCTCACAACCACACAGCACATCAAGCAGGAGGCCCTGACCGACTACCAGGCCATGGTGGAAGCTCCCACATCCCTGTCTACTCACTGCCGGGCCCCGTCAGCCACTGGCCTGCACACGGACCTGGACCTCCCGGGCCGAAGCCTCACCAACCCTGTACCTTCCTGCTACCTTCTGGGCAGTGAGCCCAGCTCTGGCCTAGGCCCCTCACCTGACACCCATCTCCCCGAGAGCAGTCTGAAGCGCTGCTGCCTCTTGGGCCTGCCTGCCATCTCCTCAGCCTCCTCTTCACCCTGTGCCTCCTCTGAGGGCCTCCACATCACCTCCATCATCCGCTCCTCCCAGACCGCGCTTGTCACCTGTGTGAATGGACTCCGGAGCCCTCCTCTACCAGGTGACCTGGGGAGCCCCCCCAAGCGGGCCCGGTCTGGCCCTGTAGCCCCTGAAAGCCATGAGGGCAGCTTGCAACTTGAAGCTTGCCGGAAGGGGGGCTTCCTGAAGCAGGAGCCTGTGGACGAGTTCTCAGAGCTCTTCGGGCCTCACCAGCAGGGCCTGCCGCCCCCCTATCCCCTTTCTCAATTACCAGCTGGCCCAAGCCGTGGAGGCCTGGGGCTGGGCCTGGTGGGCAGGGTGGTGGCTGGGCGGCAAGCATGTCGCTGGGTGGACTGCTGTGCAGCCTACGAGCAGCAGGAGGAGCTGGTGCGGCACATCGAGAAGAGCCACATTGACCAGCGCAAGGGCGAGGACTTCACCTGCTTCTGGGCTGGCTGTGTGCGGCGCTACAAACCCTTCAATGCCCGCTACAAGCTGCTCATCCACATGAGGGTACACTCTGGCGAGAAGCCCAACAAATGCATGGTGAGTTCCCACAGGCCACAAGGCCACCCTCCAACTGGCCCCTGACAAAGCAGCACCCTGTTCCACACTGCCCTGGGAGAGGTCAAGGACTTCTTACCTGGGGGCTGGCTGAGAGTCCCCCATGGCTGAGGAGGGCGGGGCAATGCTAATGGTCATGGCCACTGGTCAATATGGTCAGTGCCCCCATCACAGGGCATCTTGGTAGAGGGGCCCCTAAAGCTCACCAGGTGCCCCACTCCCCTCCCTGAGGTGTTACATGTGCTTCTGCACACCATATGGTGGTGTCATGCATACTAACAGGTAGTAGTAACATGCATACTAACACATATACTCTGAGGTCAAATCAGGCTTGTTTAATCTCCTCTCTTAATGTCCATGCTCCCTGTCCCACTCACCAATGGACACATAATACATTGAGAACATGCTGCCCTCCTGCAATGGGGCTTCACCACCATCCTCCCCAGGGAACTCATATCCCCAGACCTTCTCCTGGAGCAGCCTCCAGTGTTGGCTTTCACCAAGGAACACTGGGTCCTCTCAGGCATCTGGCTTAAGAGCTGTGTGTCCCCAGGCCAACCTTTGAGCTAAAACCAAGGGTGAGCAGCTAAGGCCCCAGGTGGGACCCATAAGTGTTCTGGTTGAGGGTAAGACTAAGGTTTCCAGGGACAGACACACATGCGTATGAGCATGCATACACATATGATAACTATAGACATCTGAGCCTCTGGCACTTCTGATTGGTCAGTTCCATGTTCTGCTGTCACTATGATGGAAATCTGTATCAGAGGCTGGGAACATAGTCGAAGTTCCTGATAACTTCCACCTAGCTGCTGTGCCCATGCTCAGGCCCACCTGGCCCACCAGGGCAGGCACCTGCCTAGGAGTGGAAGGGCTGGGCCTCAGGGGCTGGTCTGTATGGTAGAGAAACATGGGCTGCCAAGACCACTGCTCAATTCTCCAAGCTGTTAGGGCATTGGTGAGACAGGAAGAAACAGTGTGTCTAGTCTGAAGGAGCCAGTGTCATAGCCAAAGTCAAAGTCTTCCACATTTGCATGCTGTCACTGTTGCTCCCTTATGGAACGCTCAGTTAGGGAGGAGGTGCAGTGAGATAGAAACACACCCAGGAGACACAGGGTGAGCCTGTGTCCCTGCACAAAGCCTAGGGCAGCACTCATAGGGGCCAGGTAGGAAGGAGGCCGGAAGCACTGGCAACCAGACACATAAATGCCATCCTCCTGGGGCCAGGTATCTGCCCTTTGGGGCCCATTTGCTTGTGGAGCTGTAAGCTGAACGTTCAACTGCATGAGTTTATTCAGCTTCAAGGATGATGGGTTTTGAAGGATGAGCAGGAGTTTACTTTGTAAACAAGTGAGAGGAAGTGAATGGTCTGTGCACAGGAATGGAAGTAGGAGGACACCTGTGGTTGGTACACTAGTGTTTGGAAGCTTATGCTAGAAAGAGGCTGGATGGAGCAGGCTGAGAATTTGACTTCATAATGTGCCTTTGGGCTGAGAATGCTGAAGGGAGAGCTGGTGGCTGGGCTGGTCCCTGAGGGTGTCCCGGTCATTTGGGTCTTGTGATGTGTGGCTTGCTGAAAAGCAGACTCCTGCCTGAAAGAAGATGACTAACAGAGCCCGCAGGCCAGGGGTATTGGAAGGCAGGGCTTCCTCTGGGACCCTGGCACCTACAGCTGCAGAACCACAGTTCTCCATCCTTCTCTCCTGTAGATGAATCTGGGGGTCTAGGTGGAAGCTCCATGACCTGAACCCTGGCGTGGTGTAGTCTGTGGCATTTTCACCCTAGAGTCTCCCATGCACCCAGCACCCAGGAATATCTATGTTGGACATTAGGGACCTGGGAGACAGTGTCAGATTACCCATTAAGCAAGGTAAGCATGGCTTACTTATGCTTACTTACTAATCTGTAATGAACAATTCACATTTTTTTCACTACATCCAAGATTCTGCTTCTACTATGGTTGGCATCTATCTCCCAACTCCATAGCATTTTCCTACAGAATAAAATTTACAGTCCCCTTCAGAGTAAATTTGAAAAGAAGCTCTGGTAGTACAGTGATTAAGGCATTTGGCTTCTAACCAGAAGGTCAGTGATTCGAATCTACTAGCCACTCCATGGAGGAAAGATGAGGTAGTCTGCTTTGTAAATATTTATAGCCATGGAAACCTAATGGGAGTTGCTATGACTAAGTGGCAGTGAGTTTGGTGTGGTTTTCAGAGTACCCAGTAAGCAAGGTAAGCATGTGAAATTGTTCATTACGGATTAGTAAGTAAGCATAAATAAGTCCATGCTTACCTTGCACAAGTAAGCCTGTGCTTACCTTGCTTATTGGGTAATCCACCCCTGCTTGAAGATGATCTCGGTCTTCCCTGCCCGTTTTCCAGTGGATCAAGGGGCCCAGGCTACTCAGTGAGGTCTCATGATATCTCTCTCTAGGGTTCTTCCTCCTGGGCCACCCTGCCAGAGTGCCATTTGATTCAGCCAACTCCATACCTGGTACATGCCTGGCACTGAGGTTCCAGAGCTGCATCTGCCAAGGTCCTTGACCTCGTGGTCAGAGATGGGTTTGGAGATCAGTGACAGGCTCTGGGATGGAGTCTGCATAGGCCCAGAGAGGGAGACCTAGGAGGACTTCATGGAGGAGGCGATGTCCCAGCTGTACCTGTACTTGCCCATGACTGTGTTTAAGCTTTACAAGCATCCTGTAAAACCAAGGGTTTTTGTAGATGAAGAGACAAAGGTTTGCTGTGATCTGACTGGCCTTCTACTACTACTCCAGGAACACTTCATCTTGCCTCCCTGGGGGTTTAGGATTCTGGTCATGATCATACCAGCAATCTGCTTCAGAGTGCTGCCTGTGTACAGATACTGCTCTTAGCAATAACTCCATGTGGTTCTCACACAAAACCCAGTAGGGTTGATTCTGTTAACTCCTATTTTACTGATGAGGAAACTGAGGCTCAGAGAGATGGAGTCGTTTTCCCTAGGTCACACGTCTGATTAAAGGCAAACAACAGTAGTAGCAATGATAGTAGCAAGCGTTTGAGGCATTACAGAGTTTGATGTTTATAGATCTCCAGGTGCGGTTCAAACCCACCAGCCACATCTCGGAAGGAAGATGGGGCAATCTACTTCTGTAGTGATACTGCCTCGGAAACCGAAGGAGGGGTCGCTATGAGTCGGGTCTGACCCAACAGCACATAACAACAACAACACAGGTGATTCCTATAGATCCCCAGGTGACTCACCTGGGGATTTTGTTAAAATGTAGATTCTGATTCAGTGTATTTGTAATGGAAGTGTAAATTCTCAGCAGAGGGTTAAACTGGAATGAACTGGTTCAAAGCCCTAGTTTGAGGCTAATACTCTTAAGAGTATTCACAGCCACAGTGATAAAAAACACTCGCTCAAGGTTGCACAGGTAGTAAGCAGTGGAGGAGAATTTGAGCCCACCTCTTTGTAACCTGTAATGCTCTTGTTTGTGTCCATCTTTTCCCATTAGATTGATTATTCTCTAGGATCTTAGTGCTGGTCCTGTGGGGTGCCACCATCTGGAGACTTGTAGCAGAGAACCCACCTCGAGGGAGGCCTTCTCAGAGCCTCCCTCCCAGCTCCTCCCTGCACGCTGTGGGAGCGCTCCCCCTCCCTGCAGAGCTGGCACAGTAGGTAACCCAGGGGAAGGGGCGGGCTCCAGCCCGCACCCAGATAAGTGAAATCTCCCTTCCCTGTAAAATTATTAATTTCTCATGACAGGCCTCTGCTACCAGGCACTGTAATAGACAAAGGAATTTTGGACGTGGAGCCTCTGGAGAACAGGAAATAGATGAGACATTTTGATTGAAGAGTAAATGGCCCACTAAAATAGCAGTTAATCCTTTTATTATCTTTCCAGCAGCCGTTTCCACAGTTCTTTCATGAGGTAAGCCTCCCCCACCCCATCCAACTGTAACACTCCCATCCATGCAGCTGGTTTAAATTTAGCTTGCGGAGCCTCTGCTCCAACACCAGGCAGTGCCTCAATGTGCCGCAGAGAGCCCAGCTCCCCTCTGCCCAGGCATCTTTGTCCTTAGGCCAGTCCCACAACCAGGACTCGCTGCCCTGGCCCCCACCCTGCCCTCTCCACGGCCGGTCCACGCCATCCGGAGGAAGCTCCTTAATCTCTTTGCAATATCCTGTTACGTTTCTTACATGGCCTGAGTTGTCTTAGCCTTATTAAATTTGGGGTTTCATCTACATTACGATAGTGAGGTTAGGTCCAACCCAAATACTGACGCGACGCCTCGAAGACGTTAACTTTGAAAAGATTAATTTCATGCTTTCTTAGGTTGGCTCTCCCAGACGGGTTGGAATTCTGATTGTCTGAGACAGCAGGAATTAGCAGACTGCACAGTTTGCTTTTCTTCACATCAAGAAAAAAGAGAGTGGTGGAGAAAAACCTCTCATAGCAAAGCCTTTTCCTACCTTTGTTTTATAAATAACAATAATAATGACAACAATCCCTCACTTTTGTGAAGAGTTTTCACAAAACTGAGTGCGGTATGGAAGGTGTGTTCATACAAGTGCATCCTATAAAAACCATATATGGCCCAAGTTTGGAGTCACATAGACCGGGTCCCAGCCTGGCTTTGCTACTTACCTGCTGTGTGACCTTATGCAGGTAGCTTGCCCTTTCTGAACCATAGCATACACGATTGCAAAATGCAGCAATAATTGTACCTGTCTTTTAGCATTGTTGTTATTAGAGTTAAAGGTGATGACATAAGGGAACCAAAAGAAAAACTCATTCATTGCCTTTGAGTCTGTTCCGAGTCATGGCAACCTCATGTGTAGAACTGCTCCAAAGGGTTTTGTGTGTGTGTGTGTGTGTGCGTATATATAGTGTTGCATATCGTATATGCTAGATAAGTATTTATTATTATTATTTGCCCATTTTGCTGATGAGGGAATGAAGCATAGAGATGTTATATAATTTGCCCAAAGTC